ATAGATGTTGATGAAGAGACACACCAGGGCAAACCCAGGGAAAACTTCCTGATCCAAACCCGGTAACTCACACACCTGGCTGGTACTTGTTCAGCCTGCTTCCCGCTCACACAGCTAATTATAATTAGTCTGTACACCATCGCACAAGAGCATCCTGCAGACTGACAAATTCTTCATTGAAAGCACACTCACTTATCTTTCTAAACAAAGTGTAAAAAACTACACATATTAAAATTACAGTTACATAAACATATGTATGCACATAGAACAAAAACTGGAAGGGAAGAAGCATCAATGGAAATGTTTACTGTAATGTCTAATCTGTGGATTATTGGGGGGGTATGTGTTTGTTTTTCACTCACTATTGCCTTTTTAATACAGTTAGATTGTTCACAGTATTTAAAACATTGAGAAATTGAGAAAATTTAGCCTGGCAGCAATCCACAAGAAATAGCTTTAAGAGCTTTGAGACTGTCTAATCCTACCAACCTGAAAACCTGAATCAGAAACATATTTATTTGAAAAGACTTGTTGATCCCTAGGAACGCTGGATTCTTCTTTCTTTTTTTTTTTTTTTCTTTTTTTAATTTTGCATTGCTGCGTTAGGCTTAATATTTCTGAAAATCAGGGCGATAGCAAACCGGAGAATTGGATCCTTAAGTTTAGAAAAAGCCTGAATAAAGCGTGTGTGTGTGAGTGTGTGTGTGTTCATTTACATCTGTCATGTCTGTCTGTCTGTCTCTGCTGGAGAGGTTGGTAAAGGATGAAAAGAAAAGTAATATTTCTGTGAAGCTCTCGACTAAACCCGAGCAAAGTATAAAGGGGCTCTCACCTCCAGCCCAAGAATCTCTAACCGACACAAAAACCCATTATCATCTGTTCCCCTACAGTCATTTTTAACACTAAGAATAGGAAATAAAATGAAAATATACTTTTTTGTATTTAAAACAGAGAATATGAAATGGTAAATTTTAAGAAAGGGGTTAGGTAGAGTAATTATGGGTAATTAGTAAAACAAGAAAAAGAAAGTGGCTGATTAACTTGGGAGAAAATGTGACCTGTAAATACTATACATATTAGAATCATAGTCTGAATATTTGGATTGAGAAATTCTGAACAAGTCAGGATTTCTTCACTGCTTCAGTATTTCATTTAGAGCATGATTTTCATCAGTAAAAAACTAGTATTAGCAACTGGATACCTGTTATCTTTATCTCTTTGAGGTTGATCCTAACCAGTTTTCTCTGGTACTGTCCCTTGCTATTTTCAATGTCTGTGAGGCAAGTGAAAATTCCACTTTGTTTAGAAATTCAGTTTGTCCACCAAACGAGAAGTTCAAAAAATATATATGAGGTTAATCAACAGCTTTTAGATTTGTAGCAAACTTATAAAAATGGATGAAATGATCAACACAAAGCCCAGTTATTACTTGACAAGAGAAAATTCTACTTTACTTAGAAATACATTTTTCCTGCTATACTAGAAATTAACCCAAATACAGGTGGTAAATAAACAGGTTCAAAAATTCATAGTAAATTGCCATTAAAATTTAAGAAAATGTTCAAACAGAAAGTCCAGTAATCATCTGGCAACTGAAAATTATACTTTGCTTAGAAATAAATTTTCCCTTTTGTAGCAGAAATGAAGACAAATACATGTGGGAAATCAGCAGGTTCACAGATCTATAGAAAACTGCCATTAAAAATGGACAAAATGTCCACATAGAAAGTGCAATTATTATTTGACAAGTGAAAATTCCAGTTTGTTTCAAAATACAATTTTCTGACCATCACAGAACTTAAGCTAAATACATGAGATAAATTCAACAGCTCAAATTCATAGATACATGGCAAATTGTCATAAAATAGGTAATATGCCAAAATAGACAGTCTAGTTATTATATCACAAGTAAAAATCCCACTTTGTTTAAAAATACAATTTTTCCACCAAGCTGGTACTTAAATATAGGTGGTAAATCAATAGCTTGATAGATCTACAGCAAACTTCCATAAAAATATGTAACACGTTCAAGTACAAAGCTCATTCATTATTTGATTAATGCACATTAACACCTTTTGCTTTGTACACAACCATGTGCAAAACGAATAAGAAATAATCAACTTCGGGAACAAACATCTGAGAAAATCCAAAATTCTCTTAGATACTGAATGTCAAAAAAAAATTTAATTCTTTTCAATTAATTTTGTCTTGTTTGGCGTTTTAAAAGTTGGTTTGTGGTTTTAGATAACATAAAAATGTTGTCTAAAATATTTTCTATTCATGTTGTCTTTTTATTTTTAATATTGTATTGTAGTTTTAAATAACAAAAAAGTTTTATCTAAACTATTGATGCTGGGGTTTTTTTCTCCCTGGGAAAGTATATTTCTAAGCAAAGTAAAATTTTTTTCATATGTAGAAGAATTAAAAATACAAAGAAAAGCACCAAACTGATAACTCCATGTATGTCAGAACCGTGAAATTAGACAAAAGTCTTCTCAGTTTTCTGGTTTTAGATATTTATTAACTAAGGTTGTTTATTTAAAATTTTAATTAGAAAATTAATTAACATTTTCTTTAAAGAAAGCCTGGCAAATTTAATGTTATTTGACATTTAAAAGCTATTTTGATAGGAAATAATTGAGGAGAACTGATTTGATCCTATTTTAATTTTGTGGAAAAAATATATATGCAGCTCTACGAGAAATATATATTAGGTACCTATACACACACAAAGAAAGTCTGAAAAAGCAGACTCTATAATGTATACCAGCATTATTGCATGGGTTGAAGAGGTTGCAGGTGATCCTGTCTTCTTTGCCATTTTCTGAAGATTTCCCCCCTGAATTTTGTACAATGACTAGGAATTACTTTTATTATGATAAAAATACTAATGAAAATTTCAAAAATCCTGGTTAACACTTTGAAATGAAAAAATCAAATTGGTTCAAACGTGTTCAAACTTTCAAAGTCTTTACATAGATTTTTAAACTTAAATTTTTCCTACTTTTCATCTATACTGGTTTTTCATCTCACTTTTTAGAAAAAGAGTGTCTGTCAGCTAGATGAACTAACTTGTGGATTAAAGAAAACTACTAAGTATTTGGCAGTCAGCAATCACTAAAACAGTACTCTACCAAGCATAAGAAATCTTGAAATTATTCTATCTTGCAGAAGAGGGTGACGTCCTAAAGAATAAATTAAAAGACACTTCTAAAAAGTATCATTATATTCACCCAAGTTACTAGAAAAAAGTATTCCATTGTTGGAAGTCTGTACTTCATTCATTCATATTCCGGATGGTCAACATTTTATTTCTAATAAAATCTTAGTAATAGGCTACAGTTTTGTTTATTCCTTGAAAGTCTCGCTTTTTAATTGTTCCTGCCACCCTGTCATGTACAATAAATAAAATTCGTATTTAACTCCTATGTATAAAATAATCTGTAGTAATGTTACTAAAATGTGCTCCGTTTTAGTCTTCAAATATGAATGTGTTTCATCTGCGTTTCAGAAACCTAACTCAGCTGTAAACAATTTAGTTTTCCCTTTTAACTTAAACTTCTTTTACTAAGATCATCAACAGATTGTCGGTTTCCTCAGCGCCTAACACTGAGAAGCGCTTAGATGGAGATCTGTGTGGGTTGAGATTTTAGCATCCTTCCTCATCGGTATTTTAGAATCTTGTAACACACTGCAGTTTTCCCTAACGTAAAATATATGTTTGTATACATAAATTCACGCAAACATTTGCGGCCCAATCTCGGTAACCCGAAGGAAAGGATTAAATTTGCGGTTACCGTGACTAAACACATTCCCTCACCCTACAAGATTGAGGAAAATGTAACATTGCAAGGAGAGCGAGGTCTCTGCGCAAACCTAATTACCACCCAAAGTCTGTAGCTTGGAGCCTCCGAAGCCCGCCAAGCACGCTGAAAACATGCACAGCTGTTTTTAATTGTTTTTGCTTTCTCGAAACAGTGCATTTGCAGGGGCAAATGGTGCTGTTTGCAGCATCTCTGGCCCCGAGTCGGGCTTAACCCTGACCTGAACGTCCGGTTTGGCTCCTAGCATTTCCCGATTCCGCTTCCCAGCTCCGTAAAACCTAGGAAAAATGGAATTTCCGCCACCGAGAAATGCGCTTAGGAAGAGGGGGAAATTAGGCGTTTTAAATGTCACATTTTAGCGTTCTCTCTCCATCAGATTCAAGAAAAGGAGAAAAGATGTTTGGATATAGGGGACTCCGCGTGACACCCATTTCCTTTGATTAGCATTGGGCTGCAGAGCCTCAATTATGGGTAACAGCCCCCCAGAAAAATGGGCAACGACCCCCAACTCTTTGCTGCAAAGCTCAGGAGAGGTCCACCATGGGGGGCTGGGGGAGAGAGAGGCCTGGGGTGGGAATTAGAGATGATATTTCTGTGCCCGCTAAACTGGGAGGGGCAAGTGGGGGCGCGGAGTAAAAGAAAAGGGCAGGGATCAAGCCTGGGGAGGGACCCACTGGGCCTGGGAAATAGGGTGCAGGCATCCTGAAGAAGGGGTGCAGTGGGGCCAGAGGCAGCAAGAGGGGCTGAAGCCCAAAAGGCGCGCCGGCATGCCTGGAACCCGAGTGGGGGAGGGGAAGGAGGAGGCCTGTTGGCCCCAGAACCTCCACGTCGCGCGCAGAGCACTAACCTGTCAGCAAGAATGTGCCAGTGGTCGCGGGGCTCATCCTGCGTGCCCCCCGACCCTGTCCAGTCCAAGCACAGGGGTCTCCCAGCTCCCACCACCGGGGCAATTGCATTCTTGGCCTGGCTAGGCCCGCAGTCCTCGAGTCTCCCCTCCCCTCCCTTTCTTCTTTTCTCCCAGCTTGGCCAGTTCAGCATCAGCATCCTGCACCCCCTCCTTAATCCCGTGCTCCCCCTAGCGGCGGGCCGCCGCAGCGTGGCCACCGCCCCCACCCCCATCCCCCCATTCGCCCGCCCCCGCATCCCCCCCTCCGCCCCCAGCCCGCGGAGCACGCTGGGATTTGGCGCCCCCCTCCTGTGTTCAGCCTATATAAGGCAGGCAGTCCCGGCTCTCGGTACACGCGCTTCAACTTCGGTTGGTGTGTGTCGAAGAAACCTGACTGCGACCTGAGGAGAACACCGGAGAAGGTCCACCGAGCCTCGCAAAAGGTCCGCTGAGCGGGCTCGCGTCCGGAGCCACTCCGGGCTGCCGAGCACCCAGTGGAACCCACGCCGGCTCAGGTGTGGGACCTCGTCCTGCGCGGCTTCGCAGAGGAGTCCTCGCGTGGTGAGTATGCGGTGAGGACTTTTTTTTTTTTAAGATCACGTTCATACCCCGTTCCTGTCGGGAGCTGCGGGAGATGAAGTAGCGCCCCTGAACGTCTCCTCGCAAACCTTGTCACGCCTTCACCGGCTGTACCCCAAAACAAAGTGGGGAGACCAAGCCTTCAAGGCATTGGTTTCCAAGACTTAAGTCCCAACGCGGGCTGTAGACGGACATGAGCTGCGGACGGTCATGAGCTGCAGACAGACATGAGCTACAGACCTATTTGCGATTTGCTCCTCAAATGCGCTACTAAGTGTTGCGCTACAAACTGATGGGCGCTTCATGCGCTAATACTGGAGATAGGCGCTTCATGCGCTAAAACTGGAGATAGGCGCTTCATGCGCTAAAACTAATGGGCGCTTCATTGCGCTACAAACTGGCGCTTTATGGCGCTACAAACTGATGGGCGCTTCATGCGCTACAGACTGTTGGGCGCCTGAATTGCGCTACAAACCATTATGAACTGCAGCAATGTGAGCTGCAGAGAGAAGACTGGTTTGCGCCTTAATTGCGCTACAAAATCTGAGGTGTAGAAGATTAGCGCTATGAAAGCGCTATGAAAATTGCAACGATTAACTCTACAAGAGCGCTTTATCGCGCTACAAGGCACATGGACCGCAGAGGTACAAGAGCTGCGGAACAATTTACACCTAAAATGCACTAAAAAGTGCTAACAGCTGCAGAGGTACCTGAACTGCGGACTGTTTTGCGCTGCAAATAAACCAGGTATAGAAGGACATGAGCTGCAGAGTACAATTACTCTGTCTTAGGGGGGACCCCACCCTTTCACCTTTTGGAATGGCTCCCACTGTATCTTTCTGCAGGATGGTGCTTCTACATGATGGTGCTGGTAGACAAAATGGAGCCTCGGGCAAAAATTAGTGTTTAACATTCTGCCCACACCATTCCTGCTATAGCAGTGGAGTGGAAGGGCGCTGACTTGAGTGGAAAAAGGAGTCTTTGGGTGATGGCAGAGTAGGCTGCCTCCCCTGTTGTGCTGATGAAGTGGCGATGTAGTTGTGGCGCGAATTGGCGTCCAGCAACAGTTTGCTGAGTTCGGGGTGGTGGGAGGATTGGCTCTGGGGTGATTGGTCTTGCTGCAATGAAATGAAATGAAATGAATCTGGCTGTTGGAGGGTGGTGGGAGGGGTGGGGGGGGGATCCTGGGAAAGGCATGCAGATACTCTGCAGCCTTGAGCAGCCAGTCTCAGACCTGCCCCGCCCATCCCAGGGAGCCGTCTCTGCAGAATTGGCCCTGAGCGCGCTTAGCGCCTCCCTCACCCCCCCCAGCGCCTACTTGGAGCGCGCCTCCCTCAAAGCGCGCCTCCCTAGAAGCGCGCCTTCCCAGAGCGAGCCTTCTAAACCCTGCCTCCCGGCCCGCCTCCTCTGAGGTAGCCTGCCCAGGCCCCGCCCCTGCCCCATCACCGCCTCTGAAGCGGCCTGCCCAGACCCCGCCCCTCCCAGGTCCCCCTCCTCTGAGGCATCCTGCCCAGACCCCGCCCCTCCCCGCCTGCCTCTTCTGAGGTGGCCTGCCCAGACCCCGCCCCTCCCTGCCTGCCTCCTCTGAGGGGGCCTGCCCAGACCCCGCCTCTCCCCACCCGCCCCCTTTGAGGGGGCCTGCCCAGGCCCCGCCTCTGTTTGGCTTGCTGCCTCTGGGTTGGTCCATGGCCCCCACCTCCCTCAGCCCACCTGCGCCTGCGCAGTGTAAACCCCAGCCCCTCCCGTCAGACCCATCTTGGCGCCTGCGCGCTTTCCTTGCCCGAGCCTGGCTGTTCAGCCCGCCCCCCCTACGGTTTCTCTGCTGTGCTAATTTTGCTTTCTGTCCACTAGTATCTAACAAATAATAAGAATAATAACAATTAACAACAATAATGATTATGTTTGGCATTTATGAGCACTTTTAATAAGTGCTTTGCATATATTAAATAATAATTCCACAGTTTAAACTCCTGATAGCAGGTTCTTACGAAGGGAACTTAATGCTTGAAGGTAACTTCAAGCTGACATGGCTAGTGCCTCTAAAGGCAATTTAATTAAATATTTTTAATACAAATGAGAAATAAAATTTTTATAATTTTACATTCAAATGTTTTTAAGACACTAGTGGACGTACTGGGATCAGATGCTCTGGTGGATACAGAGTGAGGAACAACTTCAACTTGGAGATTTAAGTGGCCTTTTGGCGCTGCTGGCCTGCCTGGCCTCTGAGTGAGGATGAGACTTTTACTGGTGTGCCTATGAAACTGGTTTTCTCTTTGTTTTTGTTTGGAACTCCGGGGAATTAAGCCCTGGCTAGCTTGCCTACATATGTTAAATTATGCCTGGAACATGCTAGGCATTCATTAAATATGTTAAATGACCAGAGCAAATTGGTTTATTTGGTGTCTGCGGGTCTTTCTGGTTTCTTGCTGTTTCCTATGGTGCTCTGCTGTACTGGGTTACCTTTTACACCTTTTCTCTCAACGTTTTAGTATCCTTAAAAAAAAATGTTATTTTTAAATTCCAATAATGTAAGCTGTAATTATAATACAAAACAACTAAATTTAAATTATCCCAAATAATTAGCTTTTTTCATAAAAAGCTGATTATTCCAATAATTAGCTTTTTTCATAAAAAGCTGATTATTCCAAATAATTAGCTTTTTTCATAAAAAGCTGATTATTCCAAATAATTAGCTTTTTTCATAAAGAGCTAATTATTTGAAATTATTATGAATAATTAGCTTTTTTCATAAAAAGCTAATTATTTAAATTTGGGCCAAGTGGATTATTAATGGCACATACTGGTATTTTTTTAAATTTGTGATATGTAACATAAAGTGATTACATTAGAAAATATAGATGGTTTCAGCTGGCATAATTAATCATTTGTATATAAAAAAATTATAAGTGCCAGTCACATGTACCATGTAAAAATTATGACTCTAACTGAATAAATTTTAAAATCTGGTTCTATATATTACAGACCATGAGCCAGAAGTTTGTTAAAGGGGAATTTGGAAGCTTTGGCTCTCACATATCAATCACCTTCCCCTCACCCCACCCCCAGCAAGTATGCAATGTATAGAAAATATGTTTATTATAATTACAGCTTTGAGTAGCTCTCCCTCCGCTTTGGAAATTGTGTGTCTGCATGTTAACAAGGTTCAAAACAATGATAAAAACATGCATATTAATAGAACTTGCATTTTATAAATAGTACACAATATTATTCAAAAACTTTGGGCAACATTTGAAAATGTAAAACAACTAAGCGTTGAGAGTTGCTTAATGAAATGTCCTTTCCTAATGAATGTTTATGCATGGTTTTTGGCTATTATTCCTTTTTGGTGTATTTGGGGAATAGAAATTTTTAGAAGTTATTGTGAAATAGTCAATAATTAATCAAATGTATTTCCTAAATAAACTAAAATTGGAATTATTACTATGTAAAGATGGGTGTGTCCTTTCAGTTTTCAGGATTAGGACCTCTTGACCCCACCTTTCCAATCCAGCCCCTGCTAAGGGGGTAGTTTAAGGAGTCATAGTTCTTTAATTTAAATTAAATAAAAATGCTCCTTGTCCCAGATTAAGGAGCTACCCCAATTACTGTTTAAACATATTTATGCTTTACTTACATTCACTTTTAACCTGACTGCCCACTACCTTATTACTTTTAATGGACAAACTGCTCTGCACTGGGCAGTTATCTCTTTTAAAACTTAGAGTCCCACCCCAAAATTATAGTTCCCCCACCCCCCAGTGAAGGCCTGCCTGTTATTGTAAGGTCATAGATCTTAAACTGGTCACCTTGCAAGCTAAAGTATTTGTTTGACCAGGACTGTATAATAGCCTGAATGTCCTGAGATCGGGGTGGGGGTGGAGGGATGCTTCCCTAAGTTACATAATTGCAGCCCCTCCCTATTATCTTAACTCTAATATTGTCTCCTTTTAAATTAATTTTCCTGTATACCAAATTCATTTGAATTTTTAACCCTTATTGATCGTTTGTTTCCTTAAGCAATATACTAATTGATTACTGATTTTCTAATGTATTATTTTTGTCCCATCATTGTTTTTATGTAATTTATTTGGTATTCATTTTGTCTTGATGGGTCAGAGAGTAACCAGTTATGTTTGAAACTTTTATTAAAGAAGTTTTTAAAACTTTATAACCTAATAAGTTTTTAAAACTTTGTAAACTAATAAAAAGTTTTTAAAACTTTGTAAACTTAAAAGTTTTTTAAACTTCGTGAATTAAAAGTTTTTTGAACTTCGTATGTGAAAAAGTTTTTTGAACTTCATAAACTAACAAGTTTTTTTAACTTTGTAAACTAACTTTTTATATTTTTAAACTTCATATAAAAGTTTTAAAGTTTTAATATTATAAATTAAAATGGTTTTGAACCCTTTAAAGTTTAATGTATTTAGATTTTCCAAATATGGGATTTGGAGTTTGAGATTATTTAAAATAATTAAATCAGTCTAAATGCACTTAACCGTATTTTCAGAAAATACACAGACACTGTCATGATTTTTTATGTGTGATCTATTGTCATTATATTCATACCATACTTAGAACACTTAACCACTCTGCCCCCCCCACCCCCACCCACACACATTCACTCACCCTTAGGAGTATAGCCCTATCCCATTTTAACTTTGAACACTTAGAACACTTAACCACTCTGTCCCCCCACCCCCCTACACACACATTCACTCACCCTTAGGAATATAGCCCTATCCCATTTTAACTTTCAACACTTAGAACACTTAACCACTCTGCCTCCCCTACCCCCGCACACACACACATTCACTCACCCTTAGGAGTACGGCCCTATCCCATTTTAACTTTGAACATTTAGAACACTTAACCACTCCGCCCCCCCACCACATTCACTCACCCTTAGGAGTATAGCCCTATCCCATTTTAACTT